CATTTTCTTGATATTAATTATACTTGAAGTATATCCTTGCACGATAGACGGCGTCACTAAGCAGATAAAAAGAAACTATCAGGAAATCGTTTAATATTACTTGTTAATTTTCTTTTGTTAATAATATTTGCTATTACTACTTAGATTTATTTTATTATTAATAATAATTTAATATTCTCTTGATATAAATATTTTATAGGTTTAAAAAATTGTATTAAAGTTCGGTTATATAAATAATTTTACTTAATAATTTTATAGAAATTGTCCAACTAAAAAGCTTTGTCTCTAAGACTAATACCACTTAATATGTTGTTTTTTAAAATAAAAAATTTAAGAATACTAATCATATAAATTGTTAAAATAATAAAGTAAATTTCAATGTCTTTGAAATTTTATATCATTTAAAATCTAACAATTTAATATACAGCAAATTTGTGAACTTAACAACAAGTAAGTCGTTGGTTCGCTCAATCGACACAAGTACCTTTACAATAAAGGATCTAGCCATGATTATAACTACGTCCATGAGATCGACGGTCGACCCCCTGTTATAGATTTTGAAAAGGTAGGTACTTGTGTTATTAATAATCTGAGAGATAGAAACATAAATATTTAATCACATTAGATTCCTTGGAAATTATAATAATAACATTTCTTTATTACAAAAATTTAAACTTGATAATTAGTTGGTGACTTTGGTAACAATATTCACTGACTAGACAGAAATTTGAAAATAAATTATCTTATCTACATTGGAATTTCTGTATTTTAGGGTCCCGTGCCCAAGGGGAAAACGGGAACCCTATAACTAAGACTTCCCTGTCTATCTATCTATCACCAGGCTTTATCTCATGAACCCTGATAGTTACGGCTTTTTTCTTTCTTTTTGACAGGCTTTACTTACTTTGTTATTGAGATTTAGAATTATTTATAATATTATTACGTCATTATCAAACTCAGTTAGCCAGTGTATGGGAAGCTCGGAAGTGTCTTCTTGTCCCAAATACCGCAGTGTCTTAAAACAAACCAATATGTGTTGCCAGTGACGTATGAACGACAAACGACGTATGGAACTGACTGTGGGACTTTCAAATATGTTCAGAGTCACCAAGAGGGCGATGGAAATGATAATGCTTCGAGATCGAATCAGAAACGAGGAGATTCGCTGAAGATCCAACGTAACCATTATAGCCCCCAGAATAGCGAGTCTGAAATGGCAATGAGGCAAACTCGTAGGACAAATGGCCGTTGGGGCAGTAGGCCTCGAGTGGCGAACACGGACCGAAAACAGAGCATAGGCAGGTTTCCCACAAGATGGCCCGGTGATCTGGTCAGGATTGCAGGGAAGCGTTGGATGATGGTAGCACGCGACATATCGACACGGCAATTTATGAAAGAGTTCTTTATCCAGCAGTAGACGTTTTTCGGCTAAAATGGTAATGTAAAATAAACTGATTATTAGTTTATTTTCATTTAAAAACGCAAAAGGTGAGTCACAGATGTCATATAAATGAAACTGATATAATTTTTATGGTATCTAACAATGTTCACCTGTTTGTGATAATGCATGTTCTTTTATCTGATACCGCCTTTACAATAAGGGTGTGTAATATATGTATGAATATATGGCATAATATCAAAATATATAAAATTTACGATCTATACTTTTCAATAAATCTTTTTATAGATCGATTATTTCATATTTAATATAATACGTAATTTTAAAAGAAATACATTATATTTCTTTGAAAAAAAAAATAACATAAAGCCTATAAGGTATATAACACTCATTCAATCGAAATTATACGAAACGGTACCTAAAAAAATATTAAGTATTATTTTGCCTAATTTGAAATCAAATCATCCAAAAATCAACAGTTGTTCTTTAAAGCCTTATGATGTTGAACAAGCAACGTCTGTGAAATCCTCTTACTGCTCGATTATATGAGTAATTTTTTTCTGGTATATAAAACATGAGTTGTGTTCTTCTCTAAAGTAAATAAGTACCTTAGAGTTAAATAAAGGTAGTCATTAAAGACTAATTTTAGAATTTAGAAATAGCAAATAAAAATTCCTTGCTGGCATAAACTAACAATCTTTTATTAAGAAACAAGAGTAAACTCAAAATAATTTTGACATTGAACACTTATAAAAAAACTTAACCTATATCTGACTGGCCAGTCGCCAACATTTCCGACCCCTGGTGCACAGCACTGCTTTAGGTGAGGTGACTGACTTGTCAGTGGGGGTAAGATAAACCATTTTCCTCACAGCTCTCTATAATACGCCTTCTTTGGTGTGGACATCGACCACTCGCTCAGCGTTATCTTCGCCGCGATAAATTTTAATGATTTTACCCAGCGTTCAAAGTCCTCTCGGTAGTCGCTCGTCTGCCACGTCTACTATGTCTCCTTCTTGCCATTGAATAATGCTCTTTCCAGAGAGTCTCTTAAGTAAAATTGGTAGATATTCTTTAATTAATCGGTTCCAAAACTGGTCTGCCATGCGTAAAACCCGCCTGCAATCTGCTCGTCTAATTAAGTCAGCATCACCTAGCTCGCCTGCTAACCAGTTTTAAGTTGAAGATGAGCTGATCAAAAAGTTTAAAGGCGTAATCGCTTCAGGAGAAACAATCAACAAATATCTCGGAATGGAACTTAAAACGCTAAGATCATTTGAAAGCCATCCTCTCATTTCAAAACAAGCTGCCGAATGTATAATAAAAACATTAGAAACAAGTTTCGAAGCTTGAGTTGTACTATCAAAACTAGCAATATAATCATCCATGTAATGATTATTAATAATCTCATGGACGGCCTCAGGAAATAGATGTTGCATCTCCAACGCGTTTTTATTTTTTATACATAACAAGTACCACATTCAGGCTATAGATGATAGCCTCAACAAACGGACCCATCACCAATCCATCCGCTAAACGTCCGCACTTTTCAACAATTGCTTCCCTCACCACATCCGAGACAATAGAATCATCGAGCCCCGTCAAGTACAAATCAATGCACTTAACGGGTCTTGTGACCCTAACCTCTTCTCCCAAGACCTCTTTCAGTTTGACAACAAATTGGTCAGCCTGTATCTCACCCTCAGTACATGTGCATGGGACCTTGAGCTATTTGGCTCCGGTGGCCGCCATACTCAAACTAATTCCTGGCATACCCACAAACAATACTCTCCTTAGCCTTTGCCAACACACATCCACACGATATTCCCTTACCCTACGCCTCGGGGGAAATCGACAGCAAAACTGCCGTAGTACCTATCTCCTATTTTATTTTCACACTGAGTTGCCCCAGGAACCATCCGCGCCCCATCCATTCTCCTCTCTTCATCGCCATTCATACTCGAAGGTACAGAAAATTCCGTTTGGCATCCTTTTGGCATTCTCGTCCCATTCATCGCAACCCAACAAGCGCCATGCTACTCCTTCTTCTCCCTCATTTTCAGCTCTCGTAGTACCCCCTCCCGCGAACCGGATGAACTGGGTACCGTAAAATGGCACACCAGATATAAACTTCCATCTGTTCATAATTTCTCTTTCAGGCTTCATAAGCCGATCAAGCTCCTCTTAACGGATCACACCACTCTCTGTTACTGTTACAGGTCTCTGCTACTCCCCGTAGAGACCACCATTTCCCGCACCTGCCTGCTAGCCTCCTCATGTAACTTCACTTTGTCATACTCCCTGTATCTAGGTTTTCCACTCTTACCAAGGGACTCGAACGGTGGCCAATTAAGATCTGTAGGCGAATTAGCCTCTTTCTCCCCATCCGACACTTTTCCCTCATTAGTATCATTAGAACTGCCTCCTGGACAGCCTTCCCCATCTTCCAGTCTAGCCAACCTAGTTGGACTCCTACTACACTCTCTTCCGCCCGAGCTGGACCCCCACCGCTCACTTACGCCTGAGCTAGGTCTCTTCTCAACATAACTTTTTTAAATTATTTTTAGGTTTCTTCATAACTTATCCCACGAGTAACATAGCAACCTCAAATAGCGGCTGTCGCGACCACTCAGCCAGTGGCCACTCACCTCCAAACCCAGGTCTAGTATGAAGTAAGTCACTTATTAACGTTGTTACAACACTCAGAGCCGCCTAACGAAGGGTAGCCACTCGTACACAGCGTAGGGGTTCGAGTCGGCCAGAGGTTGCCCATAAAAGGACACTCACTGCTCGTGCCACTTCAACACAGCGAGCCCCCCGCCCTCATTGGCATGGCCGTTACCCTAAGTCATTTTCGGGACGCCCGCCCAGAACGACGTACGGATTCCTCCTCAATGAAGATGAATCATTTGTGGAAACAGGTACACGAGAAGGTGGTCCAACCTCGCCCCCCGTCTCAGTTCTGACTTAACCTAACCGAACAATGATTTCCATTTGTGACAAAAACTTAATCGGTTTTGTCACAAATATTTTAAAAATCTGATTTCGAGAAAAGAAAAGTAATATTATGTCATAGTAGAATACTTTATTTTTAACATTTTAGTGATTATATTAAAATTGTAATAAAACATTTTACAGTACTAAGTATCATATGACTATATCGGGTTCTATATAGAAAATACGTTTCACTCGTATTCTGTGAATTAAGATATAGAATGATGGTTATATAGATTAAGTGTTATATGAATATTGTTTAAGCATTTTCAATGTCATGTTCATCATCATCATCATCACCAACCCTTTTACGTTAAGAAAGATGGGCCATGACCCTCCACGCGGGCCCAACGCGGATTGGAGGGTATTAACGACTGCAAATGCAGCCAGGACCAACGACTTAATGTGCCTTCCGAAGCACGGAGTAGCTCGAGATAATATTTTTTTTTGGCCACCAATGTCATGTTAATTTATATCAAATAAAATTAATATTATTTAAAAACAAGTATTATAATAAAAGAAATTATGATAGTTGGTGTTATTTTAAATATTTATTATATAAAAATTGCTATAACAAATGACGCATACCCTTAAAGTAATTAATAATACAATCTTAAGAAAACACCTGTGTGTCTCGGATTAAATTCCGATAACTAATCAAAAAAAAATATAACTTGCTGTTATTAATAAATAAACAAAGTATTATTGAGCACTGATTGTCTTGGTCTGTATTTGAAGATGGTCTATTTCATTTATATTGCAATTTTTATTTTCATATTCTGGTGGTATAATACGAGAAAGTTCAATTACTGGACAACACGAGGCATTAAACATGAAAAACCGGTGCTATTTTTAGGTACATATGGCAATATGTATATCCAGAAGCAAAACCGATCTCAAATAGTTGAAGAACTTTATTGGAAATATCCAAATGAAAAGGTGGTTGGAGCATTTAAATCCACGACACCTGAACTTATTATCAGAGATCCTGATTTGATAAAAGATATTTTGATTTTTCACTTTCCATCATTTTATAGTCGTGGTTTCAATCATAGCAATGATGTGGAAATTTTGCGAAAACATTTGATTGCTATAGATGGAGATCTTTGGCGAATGCTAAGACAACGAATGACGCCAGCTTTTACAAGCGGTAAGCTGAAAGCCATGTTCCCTCTGATTGTAGAACGGTGTGAGAAGTTACAGGCAAGTACTCTCACTGCAGTTGCTCGCAATAATACACTTGATGCTAGAGAACTGATGAGCAGATACACTATGGAAGTCATTGGTGCTTGTGGTTTCGGAATAGATACTAACACTCTAAATGATGGAAACGCAGCTTTTCTTCAACTTGGTAAAAATATTTTGAACATGACACCAACGAAGGCAATTTTTTTATTGTTAAAAGATATGTTTCCATATTTTGAAAAAAGATTTAATTCCTTTTTAGAAATAGAATCACAATTTCTTAGCTTAGTAAATCATATAATAAAGGAAAGGAACTATAAGCCCTGTGGTCGCAACGATTTCATTGACCTTATGTTAGAATATTTAAATAAGCCCATGGAAGCCGAATCCATGGAAAAAGTTGGTGATGGCAAAAACCCCGTCAAGGTCAAGATGATTATGGATGTAAACTTATTTGCTGCTCAGGTTTTTATATTTTTCAGTGCCGGTTTCGAAACTTCGGCCTCTTCGACTAGTTATACATTACACCTTCTTGCAATAAACCCTGATGTACAAAAGAAAGTTCAATACGATATTGACCTAGTTTTAAGAAAATATAATGGTACGCTTAGTTATGAATCTATACAAGAAATGACTTATCTGGAATGGGCTTATAAAGAAGCACTTCGAATATTTCCGTCTGCAGGTTATCTAATGAGAAGAAGTACAAATATATTTAGATTTAAAGACATAAACTTGGAAATAGATGAACGTGTAAATATAATTATTCCTATTCAGGCTTTACATATGGATCCCAAGTATTGGGAAAATCCTGAGGAATTTAGACCTGAAAGGTTTCATCCTGATAACTTTGGAGCGACGCAAAAAAATGTATATTTTCCATTTGGAGAAGGACCTCGGAATTGTATTGGTAAGATTTATATATGATAATTATTCTTGTAACGTTTAAATAACTGTTTATTTTAACGTTGTCTATGTCTATTTAGAATAAGCTTCCTGGTAAATATATAAAGATAAGCATTATGTCGCTTTTGTCATATGACATCAATCATAATTTATTTTTTGATAATATTTTTCGTAATATATTAAATACTCGTATATATTAGATTACTTGGTGTACTCGTACTTCGTATCACCTCTCGTCATTTAAACCTTCCCTGCTCTACGGCAATCATTTCAAATCCAAAATCAGCTGAATTCACTCAGACATTCTCGAGTTTTAGCGAAACATGTACAAGAAGAATATAACAGAAAATATATCAAATTAAAAATTTTCTTATAAGAAACTTTGTTGTATGTTATCTAGGAAAAGAATTCTTGTAAGACAAATGAAACTGACCTAACTCGGGAGGTTTGCGTTACTTGATTTTCACGTCGGCCCACGGCCTTATTTTAAATATCTTATATTACATTTTTATTGTCATCTAACTTATACATGCACGCAAAAATTCAGCTCAGTCGAAAAGAGGGAAGTGGAAAATTTAGCTTGCAAAATTAGACCGACACTAACAAAGTAACTAATTGAATTAGTTAAAAAAAAGTTTGCAATATTAACTATCGGCAAGTAAGGGGCGCGTCAGTGCATTTCGGAAGGAACGCGCGTTGGGAACGTCTGAACTAATGAATTTATTATGTATTCGTCGCGCACACGTGAGATGCTTGACAAATACACCGTCAGAACTTAAACATATTTCTGAATTGGCTAGTGCTTGCTATTCTATTATATATGACACAAGATGACAAGCAGGCGCTCCTTCTCATGAGGAATTTATGATATTAAATAGTACTTTATTTTCCCTTTCTAGGTAGTCGTCTTGGCTTGATGCAGTCCATGGCAGGACTGGCAGCGATACTCTCCATGTTTACAGTAGAACCTGCACCAGAAACTGTTCGGCATCCAAAAATTGATCCAAAATCTAATATTATTCAAAGCATAATAGGAGGTTTACCTTTAATATTTCGTGAAAGGAAGAAAAGTGTCAACTGAAACACAAATTCAATAAGATTTTTTTTTATGAGTTGATTATAAGAACTGCCAAGAAGAGTACGAAAACAATAATTTATGATTAATCGAACTAACCTGTAAGTGAAGTTCTATCATAATTATGCGAGGTATTTCGTTCGAGGAGATTAGCATCCCACCCTCCCTCTACCCTAATAAAATATCATATTATTGAGATGTATTTCCAAAGAAAAACTTTATAAATCATTATACTTAATTACTACTAACATAAATATTATATGTTATCCATATTAATTATACTGCTTGTGAAATCATGTCTGTTTGAATTGGTTACAATTTCCCTATTATAAAAACTAGCGAAGGTTGTAGATGTACCTGACCGTCCAGGTGTTTTGAGATCAAGGTTTACCCTCTGCTTATATGTAAGCACGAGAAGTACTAGCATGTCTGGTACTATGTGCAGAATAAAATTGTGACATCTATTCGACAAGATAGTCATTTTCTTTATTCATCTACACATTGTTTGATACAAAAAATCGTAATAAAAAAAAACGACTGAAAAGAAAGAAACAATACCATATCTTCAATAAAACAAAACAATCATTGCAATTCGATGTCTAGTTTACGAGATATCCGAGGAAAAATATACATACATATACATATCTATAAAATTTTGCACACGTGTTAAGAACTCTATACAGACCAACATATATGAATATTAGGCAATTCCAACGAAATTACATACATAAGCCTCGAATCGATAACCTCATTATTTTGAAGTCGGATAAAAGGGATGTATTTATTACGCAACTCCCTTGTAATATTTAAATAATCTGATAATAGTTTAGCAGTATATATTTCTGGTCTATATTGAAAAAAAAAGAAGTACAATAAATGGTTGGTTTGTAAATGCACTAGACACAGAACACCGAAAGCCGTTAGAAGGGTCTTGTGGGCGTAGCAGTGTAGCCACGATCCTGGACAAATGTACAGGATCGTGACCACCACGCGATCGCGATGTTTAGTCATTCACGAACGCGCGCGCTGTAAGTACTGTGAAAAACGCCACTAAAAGTGATAAAAATGTCGACTTGCGCAGTTATTAATTGCAAAACAAGAAGCCCATCCTCAAGTTGGTCCAAAGGCAGGATTTCTTTCCATTAGTATGTAGATCACTTCTCAAATTTAGTTTGTTTAGTCGAAATTCGTGAAATGTTATCAAAAGTGTGAATCACAAAAAATATTTCCAAGAAAATACACATTGCTGGAGAAGTGCGCATATTTATTACATTGCGTCGTACTAAGCAAGTAATGTAAAGAAAATCGCGAAATCACCTTTTAAATAGCAACATAATAGATTACGGTAGATGGCTAGTGAAGTGCCTGGAAACATTTAATCGATTCTTGGTGTGTTAGTTAGTGAAAACTAAATAAAATTAAGGACAATAAAACTAGTGGTAATAAAAAATAAATTTAATCAGAGATTAACAATAGCAATAAATAAAATGTAACCCTATTCTTGACTACCATATTGACTTCGTTTGGTATGCGTTTGTATAGTAATTTAATAATGAGTGTGGTAATAAGTCTGTTTTTATATTCTTAATATTGTAACAGATTTTTTTTTTCATTTTGATCCATTAACGACAATACTTTTTAAATCATTGGAATCCGTTCGGGATAAGTTCCAATAACATTTATGGTATTTTGTATATTTTTATTTACATTATATTGTTTGTCAATATTACTAGTTTCAATTAAGCGATGTTGCCGAAAAAATTACCTACTATTATTATTTATATTTAAGCTCGACTAGTACCGATTCAATGTTAGTTCATTCGTAATTAGTAATTTAAATATTTGCTACTGAATCAACCAACTAATTAACAGTTAATATCTAAAGAAAAAAGGTAATGTCACATTTAATAAATACAATTCAATGTATATCCAAAATAATATAAAGAAATCTAGTAAGTATCCTTTCTATTAAGCGACTTGTTGTTTTTCAATATCGATAGAAAATAACTTTATGTTAATCACTAGTGTGATATGTCAAATTATTCTATGATCAAGTGCATGTTGTGTTTACCTATAAGTGTTTGTGACAATTAGTTATTGAACATAAAATTTATTGTAACTAGAATGTATGTAATATTGAACACGAACGTTGGTAAACCTTAAATCTATACTTATAATAAATCTGTAGAGAGGTCAATTCTGTACATGAAATATATTTCCAAAATAACTATCAAATGCAATCAGTAAAATTTTTGTCTGTCTGTATGTCTGTCTGTATAACCGTTATAGAAGCAAAAATTACTCGACGGATTTTAATGAAACTTGGTACAATTGTTTTTCATACTTCTGAGCTGGTTATAGTATACTTTTCATCACGCTACAATCAATAGGAGCAGAGCAGTGACGGGGAAATGTTGGGAAAACGGGAGAAGTTACTCCTTTTTTAAGCTTCCGTCGCGTGTGCTACCTTAATGCTTAAAGCAACCCAGAAATCATGTATGACGGAAATGTTTTCCTTAAAATTATATAAAAAATATCCCACGACAGCATATGTCTATCTTTTATGGTTGACTCACAATAACACGTGTAACTCCCGATAGCTTAGCAGTTCGAAGCTTTCTGATTGTATTTGTCTATTGTCTACTCTTACGTTTATAACACTCTCAGTCATCCCTAATTAAAAAAGTTAACAGTATTAAGTATTCCATAAAAAAGAACCATAGAAATCGGTATAGAAACACCAAAGTTATACATGAAATACGCTAATATAATTAGCCATCGCGCGTGAATACTGAATCATGCTAGAAGGATTGTTCTGGCCAGTATTTCATCTATACTAATATTATAAAGCTGAAGAGTTTGTTTCTTTGAACGCGCTAATCTCAGGAACTACTGGTACGAATTCAAAAAATATTTTTGTGTTGAATAGACCATTTATTGAAGAAGGCTTGAGGCTATAGGGGAAGTACGTACAAAATGACATATATGGACAAAATGACACACCATGTGTTTTTCAAAATTGGCGGGCGGAAACACGACCACCGACATCACATCATGTGACGTCGGCCATTGTAGCAAACCTGTAAAAAATCTGTCACTCTCGGCTCAGTCACGAACGAGTTACGGGTATAAACGTGTTTCGTGGGTCTAAAAGTTTTTTTATTATGCTGATTTTCTACACATTTCATGAAAGTTTTACATTATTTTCTTTTAATGTTATTACTTAAATCGATGCAGTATACCATTAGGCTGTGATTTAAGGTAAAATATATTAAAAAAAACAGTGGTTTCAACAAAGTGAACTTTTATTTTATTTTTTCTATGCCATCGGACAAAATGACATATTCGAGCTCTGGACAAAACGAAATAGTATGTCATTTTGTCCGTATGTTTATATCATATTATAGGAAGTTTGTTTTATTTTTATTTTAAAGTAATTTAAAGGTATGCCGCGAATTATAAACGGAAATCTCAATATGAACCGGCTGAAACAAGTAATATTCCATTAAGCCGAGATAATACGGAAAATGGTGATGCAATCGATGCTGAACTGCTAGCTGTTGGCAGTTCATCTGCAGCTGGTAACCCAGAAATTCACTCATCTTTTAGCCCAGTCCCAGGAACATCCGGTCTTGAACTTCAACAGGAAACGGCATTTGATTCTGACATTAATCATATACCGTTTCCTATAGAAGTTTTATCTCCAGCACCACAAGGAAAATTTATTCAGGGTCAAGGAAAGAGAAAGCAAAAGATACGCAATTCTCATTTACTCTTAACTTCTACTCCTAATATGGACGAAGTTAAAGAAAAAAATGCTCCAAAAATTCCTCATGAAAAGAAGAAGCGTCAAGCAACAAAGACTTTATTCGATGAGGAATCAGACACCGAAGATTACTAGCTTCATACTCGATTCGTTGATGACGACGATGATTGCGCATGCATTTATTGTAACGATTTATTTTCACGTTCTAAGCCTGGCGAAGACTGGTTAAAATGCATGAAGTGTGGTCTCTGGGCCCATGCATCATGAGCTGATGTTCCGCGCAAGATTAAAAAATTTGTTTGTGAACTATGTGCCTAACTTTATTACTGTCATTATGTCCATGAATATTATGTCGTTTTGTCCGTATAGTATGGACAAAATGGATTTTTCTACTTCTTTTGATTATGCTCTGTTGATCTCATGATAAAGTTCCTATTTGATTGTTTATTTAAATTATTGTAAGGCAAATAACCAAAGATGATAATAAAATTAAGAGACTGATTCTAATCGTAATAGTTACAAATAAATAACATGTCAAAAAAATAGTATGTCATTTTGTACGTACTTCCCCTATAACATCACGCTGCACCTATTGGGAGCGAAGAAAAAATGAAAAACGCGGCGAAGTCGCTGGCGGCCACTAGTAAATAAATAAAGTAGCTGCTAAATGCGCTCCAAGCAAAGCAGCTTGTAACTCTAACCTAGGCACAGATACATGTTTGAGGGGAGCGACTCGACACGTAGCAGCTACAAATATAACGTGTACACCACTATAACCGATCCATCGCAAGTAAGCCACTGCACACATGGCCTTCGTAGATGCATCACTAAAGATATGCAATTGTACATTTTTTTAAATTATTTACAAAATCACTGTGTACATTCTTAAGATAATATCGAGGGAGACGAATCTGACTAATATCGGGTAAGTGTTTAATCCAACAACTCCATTTTTGCAATAAGTTATCTGTTAATGTATAATCCCACTTAATATTTGCTTTCCACGTTTCTTGCATAATCAGTTTACCTTGTAACGTAAAAGGCAAAAGAAAACCAAAAATATCGTTAATTGACATAACGACACGCAAAATATCCCTTTTTGTGGATCGCTGTGAACCATTAACAATTTTGTCATTTATATTTTTAAATGATATATCAAATCTCAATGTATCATCCATCGGTTCTCATAGCAAATCAAGCGTTCTTTCGATAGTAATTTGTTGATTGAACTTAAACCTAACCGCTGCACTACCTAATAAGTCTTTGGGAATCATATCTAATACTTCTTTACTATTGTTATTAAAATTAAAAATATGAAAATCACCTTGTTTGTGAATAAAAATTATATCCTTCACTAAATCGATTGTGACATCTGTGTTTGGCAGACTGTCTATGTAATCATCCATATAATACTGTTTACAAATCGCCTCAACAGCTAAAGGTTTATATAACGCAAAAAACTGAGCATTTTTGTTTTTGATATATTGAGCTATAAATGGCGAACAATTATCACCAAACCTGGGT